TTCTACAGGGCCACAATCTATAAAAACTCCCTGCTAATGTGTGCTGTTGGTATTAATGAAGTGCACAGAGCACATTTGTATTCCAGATTCAACAAATTACTTTTTAACGTTTAATTTAATTTTGTTTATTTATATATGTATTTTTGCATCATTTAGGTTCCAGTCACCATTACGTTTTTATGGTGCCAGCCAAGCCACCTTGAATGGGTTTCATTTCATCTGGTTTGGGCAAGAGAAACAGGGTCAGTCTTGGTTAGCGCTCGGATGGGAGACCATCAGAGATCTGGGAACGAGCTGTACGACTTTGCTCTTTGCAGGCGACAGCAGGCTGAACAAGGACCTTGTCCATATTATTATCATCAACTGTTACAGTATTTTTTTTTCCTATGATGTGCTGAGGGTAAAACATCTGGGCCAGATGTCAGGGAGTTATGGGAGGAAGGATGCTAATAATACTGTGACTCCATTCTTGTCCAGACAAGACAGACACGTTCACGAGGAAGGCTTTTTACCCCCTTTTTCTCTGTCGTAATTGAAGCTGGAGGAAAATTATTAAATGAGAATGCTGTTCCTTGTCAGTGTGATTCTGATTTCTCAAGCGCTCGGTTCCACACGGCCAGTGGCGTTTGTGTGTGGTTACCTTGTGCAGCTGAGCAGTTGTCTAGCCATGTCGTGTCTGGGAACGAGGCACAGATGATCTGACTGGACTGATTCCTGAGAGGACCTGACATTCCTAACTTTGCAACCGCCAAGCGTCCGGTTTGGGACAGGGGAAAAAAAGTCCTTTTTCACTTGTCAGAGAACGGAGTTGTGGAACCTGTAGCCACAAGATGTACCCCACGAGCCCAGATGGTTTCTGGACAAGGAAACAGGACCGCTGACAGAGATGCTGGATAGCTTATTGGTTCAGGCATCCAGCTGCCCGAGCCAGAGGTTGGGAGTTCGAATCCCCCCACAGTGCCTCCTTGGCAGGGGCTGGACTGGATGATCCACAGGGTCCCTTCCAGGTCTGCAGCTGTTATTATTATATCTTCCCATTGCAGGAAGGGTCAAGAAGGCATTCAGTGGGCCTCTGTGGGGAAGAAGATGCTGGACTCAGAGGGACCTTTGGTTTGAGAGACTATTCTTATGTTCTGAACAATAAAGACTTAGAAGCCCAGTAGCTGCTGCTGTTGTTTTATGGAAAGCTACTATCCCCCAGGAAGAAAAAGAAAATTAAGAAGTCTACCTTATTTTGTCCTATTCCCAGGTGTGCACACATGAGCCACATGGAACTAGCCCCAGCCATGAGGATGGGGCTGAGAGGCGAGATCCTAAGAACAACCTAAAGACACAACCTACTGTTGTTGTTGTTGCCCAAGACTTGGCGTGCGCCCGTTGGAGAGGTAACCATTGTCCCTACGACCAAAGCAGCAGGCAAAACACCTGCTCTGTCTACCTCCTCCCTAGACAAACAGCTGCCGGGAAACGGAGGAGAGAGGAAAAGCAAGGCCAAACAAAAGCAGGGGCCAGGTGAGCAGAAGGGGACTGAACAGCTGCCTCTGCCACACAAACAGACAATATAAACACCTGCCGCTTGTCAACGTGTTAAGAAATTAGGCGTCCAAGGCAGGCGGAGCCCATTATTCAAGACCCGGTCCTGAGGTCCATGACTTAAACAAGGGTGTGCCCCGAGAAAGTGTAAAACATCTTTTCCACGCCATGGACCGACCGCAATAAGCCACTGCAAATCTAAGCAACTGAAGGGAAAGGGTGTCTCTGAGCAAGTGGAGAATGCCTGAGTCTGAATGTGGGAGGCGTGACCCGGTTTCACGTGGCCAGGGTCTTGCAGAGAACGGGGGACTGGCCCAAATGAGCAAGAGCCAGGAAGGGACCTTTGCCGGAAGCCCTAAGGCAGAGAGGGAAGGACTGGACAACCCAAGGGCTGGAGAAAGAATCCACTTCAAGTCCTCGTTCTGTTGAGATCGGGGCGAGTGGACACCTCTGGCCGCCCTCCGCGACATCCTTGGTCTTGCGCGAGGAAGGGGTTGTCGCTGCCACGCGTAACCAGGACAAACGACATATCTTTACACCATGAAATGTAGTACAAGAAGTACAACCTCGACTGGTATTAGGTGACCTGTATTTGAATCTTTAAATCGTTTTACGCTTTAATACAGAATCTAGATGGAACTTCTTCCCTTCTTTCTGGCTGAGCCATGGCCAGAAACACGAGAAGAAAAAAAAGGAAAGGAGAGGAAAGAACAGAGAAGAAAACCTGAAGATTCAGGAAGGAACCGACTGAACATCTCACCCTCCCCCTTTCTCAGAGCTGTAGGGCTACCGTTCTAACACTTCACGGGAGGTGGAGAGCAGGTATTTGAATCTTTAAATCATTTTACGCTTTAATACAGAATCTAGATGGCACTTCTTCCCTTCTTTCTGGCTGAGCCAAGGCCAGAAACACGAGAAGAAAAAAGGAAAGGAGAGGAAAGAACAGAGAAGAAAACCTGAAGATTCAGGAAGGAACCAACTGAACATCTCGCCCTCCACCTTTCTCAGAGATGCAGGGCTACCATTCTAACACTTCACAGGAGGTGAAGAGCAATGGACTTGCCCTCTTAACCAGCAGAAAACTGGGTTTTCTTTCAGAAATGTTTCCTTCTTAAGAGCCAGACCCTCTGTCTTCAATGGAAGACTGGGGGGGAAGGGGGAGGAGGGACAATGGGTGGGGGCCTGAGTGGCAAGGCAGGGAAGTATTTGCAAATCACAGCCGACACATTGCCGTATTAGCTATGTGCACGTATATATATACATACATGAATAATAGTAATAAGCCACCAACTGAAAGAGGAGCCTTGGAAAGCAAAAACAGGTGGCAGGAGGCATAGAAGAAAAGAAAATGGGGTGTGTGTATGTGTGTGGGGGGGAAAGAGCCTCTGCCACACAAAGGGGGAGCTCCTAGCCTACACACAGGAAAGCATCTGCTCTATACACCCACCATGAAAGCAAAGGGAAATAAAGCCATCAGGCCCCGTTTCTCTCTTACCCCTCTGGATTCGGCACCTAAGGAGGCGAGAAGAAGTGAAAAGGGTGGCAGAAGAAAAGGAGAAAAGTCCCCTTTTAAGGACAGCCATGTGTAAAGGGGGAACCCTCGGAGATTTCTGGGTGGTGGGTGGGATTTCTTTGCACTCGGCTCGCTCCTTGGTGGAGGCCAATCTTGTGCAAAACATACTGAGATGATTTTATTGCTTGCTTTCGGTGGCCTAAAGGAGAGTCTCGTAGACCAGGAGATGGGCCGCACTTTGGGAGGGAGGAGTATTTTTTGTGCGGTCGCAGACGACGGAGCCTTTCAGGGGCGAACGGCAGACATGAGAGGAGAACCGAGACCTTCCCGTAGACTTTTACGACCTCATCTTGCAAAACCAAAACCGATCCGGTGGTGATGAAAACAACAGCTCCCTTGATGTGCTCAGGGAGACAGAATTCCCACAAAGAGATACCCTCAGTTCTAAGGTGATGCCTCGGCAAGGTTGTGTGGCTGGCACACGGAGTTTGGAACTATCTGCTCCTCCCTCGGTGATACAAAGCGCCTGCTTAAGCTGCCTGCTCTGGGTGGCAGAGGTGGGACGACTGCCATTTGCTTCTCCTTGCCTTGAGCTTGTAGAAAAATTACTGGCAACACCCCTTGATGTGATTTTACTGTTTGACTTTGGTAGGGGACCGTTTGGTATTTACTTAATTTGGCCAATATGGATGTAAGCAACCATCGCTCCTAAGCTCCCCGGACAGCCAGTAATCAAGATAAATTTATTTTCTTAAGGAACAGGAGGAATATTTTTATCAGGTGTCTCAGGTCCGTAAAAGGAAGCATAGATACCAGATCAGCCCCGCCAACTGGCTTGTGCAATAAGAATTAAAGATCCATTATTCTCCACTTGCTCATGGCCACTGCAAATCCTGCTCAACCCCCTTCCCCTGCTCCTCCTTCTTGGCTTCTGAGGTTTCGTTGAGCCTCAGAGAAGCTTATCCTATTTAGTAATCCCGCTTAGATCCACACGCCTTCCCCAAGGAGCTTGGGCAGCAAATACAGGGTCCCTCCCAGGATCTCCTCAACAACACCCCAGCAAGGTAGGGCTAGATGAAGAGTGAGGATTCGCCCAAATGTCAAGTAGGTTTCCTGGCTGGGGAAGCCACTTTTTACTGAACCCTTGAGAAAAGGTCTGAGAGAAAGAGAGAGAGAGAGACCGAGTCCTAAATTAGTCCCACTCCATATGGGCTAGGAACTTGATATTTGCTGAACGAAATGAAAAAAGCACGGTTGGAAATATGGACAGGCCCAGAAAGTGGCCCCTTTTATTTGCATGCACCGGTTTCTTTGACTCTGTGGTCACTACTGGTTAAACAGCTGGTGCACGTTGGTATGTTGAGCTTTAAGTACTGGGTTCAGATTGCACAGAGGGCCATGCCCCATGGAGCAGTTGTGGGGCATCCCCCATCTGCAATCATGCACTGAACCCTTGAGAAAAGGTCTGAGAGAGAGAGAGAGAGAGAGAGAGAGAGAGAGAGACCGAGTCCTAAATTAAAACACAAGCCCCTGCTATGATTCCTGAGGACAGAACGGCACCAGAGTCTCCTAATCCATGTCAAGGGAGGGAAGCTGGTTTGTTCTTAAAGGAACCGTGTTCTTGAGCGCGCACATAGCGCATGGCCGTTGCAACTCAAGGGGCTAGTAAATAATAATAACAATAATAATAATCTTGTTTCCTGGCAACGGTTCACCCTTGCCAGGAGAGCCATAAATGTGGGTGGCCCTAAGTGAAATCGGCCCACCTGCTCTTCTCCTGGCTTCACGGGGAAAGGGACGGCCATCTGGTGATTGTTACGAATGTTCGTACATTTGCAAACCAGGGAGGGAAGAAGAGAGGGCTGGATATGAGAAAGCTGTGGTAGTAAAGGTAAGAAAGAAGATGGGGCGTGGGGAGAGGTGAGGATCCCAAGAGACAATTCACGGGACTTACCCCTGGCAGTGTTTTCTGTTCGTGGAGAGCACTCTGGGCCTTGAGGGCTGATTCGCGGGCACAGTAGGTCAGGAAGGCGCATCCTGGGGAAAAAGGAGGCAGAAGAAGAAGTTGCAGTTTAATCAGAGCCATGAGCGTGGGGTGCTGTTCTCGGGAGACAGCAGGCCCTCTCTCTCTCCCCCCCCTCCATGGAAGGGGAGCCACACCTAATCCCTGAGCCCAAAAAATATAGGCCCCACTTCTAGAGGATGCAGGAAAGGCGTGCGGATAGAAATATGGTAGGAGTGAACACCAAATGGTCTGGAACCAGATGAAGCTTCATCCAGGGAACATTGTTTACAGAACGAATCCAGAAGCTTTGGTTTGACGGAACTGAAGTCCACCGGAAGTAAGTGTGCAGACAAAACGGCACCTGGAGGCAGGTTTGAAACTGGTTTTAAAACGTGCCATGTAAATGGGCTCCTTGATCTCTTCCTGAAAGTCACATGCTTCATTTTATACACACACACACACGCACGCACAAGGCTCCCCTGTTCCACTTTCCTGCCACAGCAGCCCTCTTCTCCTTTGTCACAACGCTACTCATTTATGATCTTTTAAAATTTTTATTACAGCAGCGAGGCTATAAATATTAATCAGCAACCTCTTACAACATTTAAAAGTGAAATGAAACATACCACGAGGAGCAACGTTCTACGGGTGAATGTTATCAGGAGTGTTCCGTGGGGTTCCATTTCCAATGGTCTCTGAATAAACCCGTGTGTTTGTTTTTTTTTAAACAGATCTAACCCACCGGTGTCTTTCGTACAAGCAAATTCACGCAGCAAAGCTATGGTCTGAAGACACTGAAAACCATTACGTAATAAAGACAGTCCTTACCATAAAGCTATTGGCTGCAAATCCATCTTTATTTGTAAAACCATTTCTACATTTGGCTTTCAAAAGGCCCCTTAGGTGACTAACGACATTAACATTGTTGAATGCACAAGGACAACAAGAGCAACGCAAGGACGACCACCTCCGCCCCAAGTTCTAGTAGCCACTGATAGATGGGAGAGCCAAAGAGAGCCTCTCTCCGTAGGGGCAAGTCTTGCTGAAGAGTGTCAGAAGCTGGAATCAAATGTTGGCCATCACGAACCAGCTAGCTTGGTATAGCCAAGCTGCCCTGAGTCCTTTCATGGGGAGAAAGGTGGCTCATAAATGAACTCATGAACTAATCCTCCAGTGGCGAGCAGAAGGTCATTCCGGGTTTCAGTCACAGGTCTCGTCCAACATTATTGGGACACAAAGGCTCACCCACCACGAGAGTCCGTTCCTAAGAACTATATACGCCACCCCACACGCTTCTGAATAAAGGGCTCGTTACTCGACGGAAGTGAGAAGCTGCCTCGTAGTGCTTTGCACTCCCTGGCCCTTTGCTCTCGTGAGCAAAGCCAGAGGCCCTTCACAACGCTAGCCTGAAGCAGTGAAGGAAGGAACCTAGAAGCCTCTGAAGACATAACAGATGCTCTACCACCAAGCCTAAACATAAAGCAAGGCTCCCATCCACCTGGTTCCTGAGGAAGGGGCTGGTTTGAAGAGAGTCCACGCTATGCTTGTTAAGAGCCATTGGAGGTCACTTTAGGCGGCACCCAGAGAATGCTGGTATTCGTAGTCCGGGCAGGGACCTCAAAATATGAAGCATCCTATGAGCTCACAGGATGGAGCCGTGGCAACTGAAGCCCTACCCAACGGCTGTTGGGCCCTTGCTCCACCAGGACCATCGGAAATGGCCTTTTGCTCCACCAGGCCCTTGTCTCTCTATTCAGCCTCTCCTGGCCGGCAGCCGGTTGGTTTCCTGGGTTCATTGTCTAGGCCCGGGTGGCTAGAAGTGGCTCACTAGAGGCTCGGGTGGGTCGCTGTGCGAAGAAGCAGGTCTGCAAAAACCTGGGTGCAATTTGCCACAGGGGGCTCTTCAACCTCTTTGGCCCCGTGAGGGGTTTGATGTGACGGCGCAAAAATCGGACGCCGCCCTACAGTTGTTTGGTGGGACGTTCGCTTTGCATGTTTTTACCTACAAATCCTGAGATTCTTTCAGGAGCGCCTGAAGGGGCATCAAGCCGCGACAACTCAGCAGAGTGCAGGCACCCTCTAAATCTGCAAGCAACGAGAACTCACACGTGAGAATTGAGGCGTATGGATAGGACGGAGGCAGAAGGCGCAGTGAGCAAGTGTGCCACGTTGGAGAATCACCATCTTCTGGAGATGCTGGGAACTCTCGCCTGTCATCCTTGATATACGTGACGTATGAATGAGAGCAAACTTGTCAGGGTGTGATTCTGCACCCCCTCCCCATATTTCCTCCCCCACACCCCTTTCTCTCTCTCTCTCTCCTTCTCCTCCTCCTCCCTTTCCCGGCCACCCTTTTTCAAAAATTAATGAGGAAAATATGTTCCTTTTCTTGCAAGCTCCAGCGCAGAGTCTATATTTAGACTCCCTGCCAGCGAGCCCATCGTGAGGAGCAGCGAGGCGAAAAAGCAAGAGCCGTCACACTCCAGTGGGCCCGTCTCACGGCGCCACGTCAGCCGAGCGGACGGGCCACGGGCGGCAGCTTCCCTGAGGGCAAGAACAAAAAAGACAGGGACGCGCAGGCTCGTGAGGAGCTGCTCCCCCATGGTTGAGTCAATTTTATCTGCAGCCAGACAGGAAAAACAATGCCCCATGACAGGAGAATCCGTGGTGTTTTTAAAAATTGTGGCTGCACCAATTCAAATCAACACCCCCACAAACAAACAATTATTTTTTTAAAAAAACATTCCACTGTGGACTAGAAACTAGAGCAAGCAGCAAACTGAGAAATCTCTACTTCAAATTTTGCCACAACTATAAAAAGGAGAATTATACAGAAATACAACAGGCAATGTCCTCTGGAGACTGTCAGTGTCCCTAGTCTGACAGAGCAGAAGGAAAGCAAATACTCCGATTACACCCAAGTAGAGATGCAGCAGAAATTACTCATCTTCCTGCTGAGGCTGATGGCGACCCAGAATCTTGACTCGGATAGACATGCAATGGACAGCGTTCCTCTACGGGTGGACACTTTTAGTCCTATAATTCTTTTTATTCTTCTTCAGTGCCTCACCAAAGTTCCTCTCTTGATGACCACGCTGTGAACGATGACACTAATAAAATGTTTGAGAGAACCCACGCGCGTGGTTGTCCTTTACTGTGAAAAAGGGGGTAAGGCAGTGCCGGCCAACCTTTCAGGGTTACTGTGTGGATCACAGAGATAATATTGGCAAAAGGCTTCAATCACTTCAAGAGTGGAAGTTAAAGTGGCCAGATCCGCAAGACAAACACAGGACAAATGAGCTGCCCGGACCACTTTAGAAAACACTGAAATCAAAAGGGAAAAGGTTCGGTCAACAACTGAAAAGCTAAACTGTCCTGGAAAATGAGGAATGCCAAAAAACCCTTCTGTACCAGCAAATTGTTGGGTTTGCTTCTTGTATAAATCATGCAAGTTTGTTGTTATATCCATAAAGTATTCTGGTTTGTAGTGAACCAGTGCGAAAACCTTGGCCAATTCAACACTGGGCTTTGCATCCAACCTTCTGCAACTAAGGGCCTCTATGGGGATAATGGAGATCGTAGTCCACTCCATCTGGACGCTTTGCATGTTCACAGAGTCAGCCTCCCTCCTGGCTTCTCCACGTTCTCTAGGATGGTACTCAGATCTTAACGCCATAGCCTTGCTAGGTCTTCGATGGCTGGACGTCAGGCAGAAACTCGACAGATGTAGCTGCCCCACTGCTGATATTCAAGGCCCAATGCAACTCTTGTTGAAAAGACAACCTATCCCAGGAAAGCAGATGAAGGGTGGGAAGAGTCAGCCATCACTGGTAAAGAAATTACGGCTATAAAAATCACAACATAGAAATAAACCTTCTTATTCTCAGCTCCTTCAGTCACAAGAACGTTACAACCACACGAGCCTCTTTTACTGGCGAAGGAAGGAAGGAGCTTTCCGGCTTTCTTAAATAGATCTCCTAAGATAGCAGATGTCCATCACTGAACTGGAAAGCAGAACATGGAACTGAACCAAAATGTGGGCAAAAAGGTGCTTCCCCATGAAGGCTTCGCAGGATATGTACCCCACTGTAAAAATCACGTCTGCCCTCCATAATTCTTCACAGGCTTATTGTCAACTCTTGTGAAACAGTCAGCAAAACGGTAGCCCATCCTTCTTGAGATGCTTTCAAAATAAGGCTGCTCATATCCTTAGGGCTTCACGCAGGTCCCTAGTGCTGCCACAGACCTCTGTCATTGCACAACTCAAAAGAGATGTTGCAGAGTTTGGGGGGGGGGGAAGCAACACTCCCCCTCCCAAAAGGACAGCCAACATGATCCAACATGAAGAAGCTTGGTAGGGTGATCTGAAGTTCTGAAAAAAGGTTTTTAAAACCTGGAACAGAGTGGCAGGACGTCTGACACAGAAAAGGGAAGTCGTTCTGTTAGACCACCACACACAGTTCCACCCTGTTCAGTCCCACAAGCAATGCTGTAATAGTGGCCAATGTAGTGAAATTCATGGTGGAGAAGGCGATCCATGGCTAAGAGTCATTGTGGCTCATTATCACCCCCTTGGGGCTGCTGTTATCCTCATGCCCCGCTTCTGGGAATCCCACTGATGCAGCTTGTTGACCATGGTGGAGATGGAATATTATCGATTAAACAGGCTTCTGGTTTGATCCAATACCATTTTCCTTCTGTCAGCAAGGCAGGGGAGCATGGCAACATATGTGAGGAAACTCTGCTGACGTCTTGTTAAGGCACTTTCTGGTTTGGCGTGTGAGAAAGAAAGAACCACGCCAGGCTTAGGTATGAGGAGCAAAGCGAAACAAGGAGGGCTGACCCGACTTCCTCTCATCCCTCGCACCGCCATTCATGGTGAGGGCAGACCTTCACTTGCCCTCACTGAAGCAGCTCTTCCGCTGGATCTGACTGGATGCGTAAGAGCAAGATGCCTTTACAACATGATCGCGGGTTGGCTGGAGAGGATTCAGAGAAATTAGTAAACCACAGGAAGTTATTTTTAACAAAT